TCGATTAGTTGCCAGTAAGTTTTCTGTACTTAGACTCTAAAAATCGCTTTAATACTCCCAAAAACTATTAACTAATAATGCATGTGATCAGTAGTTGCAGCCCCCTACATTACAACACAAGCAGAGGCTGATTTAACACTGTTTCAGGGAAGGATTGAACTTTTTTTTGGCTGCAATGGAGAGTTGGAGACAAGTTGTCAATCTTAAACTGTGTGTAGTTAAGTTACACTGAACTTCTTCATTAGGAGGTTTCTTTTCTCGCCATTTGAGGAAAAGTTCACCCTGTGGTGATGTCCAAACATCCCATACTCGGGCCTTTCACGGTAGGGGCATTTATAAGTGCACAGACATGCTTTCTTTTCTTTTCTTTTTGAGGTTGTAATCACAGTTAGGACTTACAGGTAGTAGGTGAAAGCTCTGAGTCCAGCTGGGACGGTGGTCAGTCCTCTCCCGGAGCAGTCTGCACCCCCATCTTCATCGCAGCTGCATGAGGGCGAACAACCGGCCGTCGACTGCCCTTGACCGGCGGCACCGGGACGAAGCAAACACCACAAACACATCCAAAACAAATCCACACGCATTTTGTCCTCCTCGTCGGTTTTCAGGTGAAAGCGATTAAAAAAATAGCACCGGGGGGGGTGATGAGAGGAGAGGAGAGGAGAGGGAGAGGAGGTGGTGGTGGTGGTGGAGGTGAGGGGTGTATGGGGGAGAGAGGAGAGGAAAGGGGGGGCTTTTTTTTTTGTGGTTAAATCTTGCTCCGACGTCGACTTCTCATGCGGTTGGTCGGCGAGGGCATGAAAGAGGATGAAGCCTACCCGACGCTTTTTTAAAACAAGATAGAACGTCCGACGCACCTCATACATTCCCGAACCCGACCCGAACCCCCCCCCCCAACCACCACCACCACCTCCAACTTGAAAAAAAAAGAACATCACGCTAACGGTTTAGCTCTTGTTAAAAACCAAACACTGGCTTCGAAGACGAGACGTTTACCTTGCCGTGAAACATTTCTCAACCCCCCCCACCCCCCAACCTCTGGGGGTCGTATTAGTCCATGAAAATAAAGTAGCAGGGGCTGGCGACAGGAGCGGTAGCCTACCTTGCGTTTTTTTGCGTTTTCGTTGTCCCATTAAATGACCACAAACAAAAAAAAAAAAAACGAAAACGAGCGGTGCCCTTGTTAATGCGTGGCCAAAAAACGGCTGGTCTGAGAACGGTGGAATCTCCTCGGTTACCAGGACAATTCGCCTGCCGTTGTTGGTTGTGTTTCCTAACAGGAGAGCACCGTCAGTTTTTCAGCCATTCCTCGCGTTCCCCTCCTCTGCTCCTGACATCAACAGCATGCTTGTAGCTCGGCAGGCACCCTACCGGACAACCTGCAGCACTGGGCCCGGCCTGTGCAACGCTGGAAAAAAAAAAAACCCTGCTGCACCACAACGTCAGTGTGTGCTGCCAACCGCTGCACGCTCCAACCAGCGAACCACGAGTTACACTCACATTACAAAGTCAGGTAAAACTGTGCACACGGGTATCCAGGGCAACCCAAAGTTTCTGCAGTCAAACTTGCTCTCTTTTACATTTTATTTTATATAAGTAAAAGGAGCAATAGCATAGTGTAGGAATACCAGTTAAATGTACTAGCTATATACTGAATTTAACTAAAGATTTTAGGTATTTCAGGTCCATTTTATGCTTCTTTATACTTATACTCCAGACAATATTATACTTTTTACTCCCCTACATTTCTGTTGTTAGTCCCTAGTTACTTGCCGATTCAGAATAATTCAAAATATGAATAAATGAATAAATTATTATCTATTGCTATGGAATAATAGTGGTAGTAGCTGAAATTTGCTCCACCTTTACCAGCTGCAAGTGATGCTTAAACATTAATGCACCACTAATTATAATCCAGTGATATAACATGATTCTGAGATGGTCCATTCTTCCTAATGAGCCTTTTTACTTTTGTTACTTTAAGTGTATTTTATAGCTAATACTTTAGTACTTTTAAAGATTTTAAATGCAAGAGTGTGACAGACTGGTGTTGCTAATTTGAGTACTTCTTTTATCACTGCTCTATTACAAGGTAAAGCCATGCATTCAACACTTTTATTAAGTGAAAGAATAAGTAGCCTATGATATTGGATTATAATTATTGATGCAGTCATGTAATCATCACTTTACTTTAACTTATCCATGTGGCTCAATAAAGTTGTATCATCTAATAGTAAATCATAATGTATTTGTTCATTATATTTTATATTGTTAATCTCAATCTGCACAAGTATACTTGAGTAAATATACTTAAATAAAACTGTGCATTAACTACTGTGCATTTCGTCTCCTGTGGTTAACGAATAGTAACATGGCCGGTTTTCAGTGTTAGTTGAGGCAATTTGGATAAAAACAACTTTATTTAGGAATATGCAAGTTTGTGCACAATATTAACTAAAATAAAGTATTAAAACTAGACTTTTAGACAGCACCTTAAACACAGTACCTTAATTATGTAATCATGTATGTACGCAACCTTATTCATATTTCACTTTAATTGTGCTAATTCCTAAACAAATGACCAATTAAATAAATTACCATGACACAGCATGAACCTTAGGCTTTTTGGACACCTGGTGTTCTGGGGTCTTGGGGAATCTGACTGCTTTATATGCTGCTATATAAGTAAATTTTAATAATATACATCAGAGTGAGATATTCAGATTCTTTAGGTAAAATCAGAATGTAAAAAGTAGGCAGTGACAACTTAAAGGACCACTGTGGCACCCAGTTGTGTAGTTACAGATTGCTTAGCCTGGTTTAAGTCAGTGTTTTGCCTGGTTTTAAGAATATTAGCAGCAAAATGTACCTTAGTTAAAAAATTAATAGAGACTGTTAGATTGTTGAATTGTTAAAAGCGTGTAATAAGCAGCATTTAAGTATTAGCATTTAGAGCATGCATTAAAAACTCTATACAGTTAGGCAAAACTGAACTTAACTATGAAAGTTAAATTGCTGATAACATAAGCACAATAAAAAGTATTAAGCTGGTTCATACTGCTATGTCTGACTCATTTATGGTTGATTAAACCACAGCCAAGTATCAGTTTCTGTTATGTTATCGTATGTTTATTATGTACAACCTTTATCTGGGAAGTAATACGTAATACAATACAATGAATGTAGTGGAATAAACAACAGTATTTTACTATCCCCTATTTGTTTTGTGCAATGGAGCAAGTACAAAAACAAGTAAAACAAGTAAAGTGCAACTGCATTTACTTATAGTAATGTACACCCTTAATGCTACGTTTGAATACCAGTAGTTTTCCTCACTAATCTGATGTTGTGGATAATTGACTGGGTGGATATTGACAAAGGAGATTCACACGGACAATCCAGGTATCTGTACATGCTGTGTCAGTGGGAGATGTCAAGAAATAACTAAATACTTATTTAAATAAATAGATGTAATAACACATTACTAGTGCCTAATATCCACAAGTTTAAGAAGTCCACATGCTTTTTCAACCTCAGATGTGGCAATAAAAAGGAAAGTAGTTGGAAGAATGCAGGGACAAACAGTGCACTTCCTGCCTCAAGGAGATTGTTGTTTTTAGGGTTACCTATTACCTCCTTGTCTGTTTAACCCAAAATACACAGGAAAGCACATTAATGAAGAGCTGAATGAATCAACAGCTACCACGAAAGACCTTTGAGCAAGAAGACATGAACCACCAGCAGCTCCTGCTAAACTCTTCAGCTGACTGTTTAAAGTCTAAACTGCTGCTAGTTGTGTTTTGTGTTGTGTGCAAGCAACTCACCATAGCATGTTGTAAAGGACTGAATGTGGAGAACCAGATTGTGTTAGAATCCATTCAATAATCCAATCCAATTCTATTGCATTTTAATGTATGTATATCCGGGTATACAGCATTTATATAGACACAAATCTGTGGGGAAACACCTACATCTGCACTTTCTGACATACAAAATGACTTAGTGAAAAACAGGAATATTAAATTAGCATGAGATGACAAAACGTTTAAGTGAATGTGAGGGTCTTTTGCATCTGTGACGCCCTTGCAAATGATTTGCCCTGACAGCTGAAAGCTTCATATGTAGAATTTCAGCCATCCAGTGAATTGTTGGCGGGCCATAAGGTCTGACATGATGTCTGACAATCAGCTTCATGTCTATGGAAGCTTGATAACTATAGCATAGACCAACAGATACCTTTAAGAATCACATCATATCTGAGTATTTTCCATTGCAGCTACATGTTGGTGGATCAAATTCAACATTTATACAACATTTGTATTGTGCATATCTTCATGAAAAGATACTTAAGCATGGCTAAGGCATGGTCTTGAATTTGATATAGTATAGCAGTGCCTCTCCACTGTTCCTTTTCATAAACACAGTACTTACAAATTCACTCTTACAGCACCTGACAGTCAGAGCATCTCCGCCCTTCACATTATGGGATAACCAATGGTGCGTGGGGAAAAGGGCAGTCAACCAGACAAGGCACAAGGTGTACAGGGTGTGGTGACTATGTTTGGTATTCATGTAGCCAGAGGCATAGGACGCACCTGCAGCATATATTGAAACTGGGGTTGGATTACGAGCAGTACATTATCAGTGGGGTGGTTTACAGCATGGCATCAATCATGGTCAGTCAAATCAGGCCTGTTCATTCACTTTAAAGGAGCAGTTTGCACAATGGCTTCACTTCTCTAATGTGGAAAAAAGTTGCTCAGAGTGGTCTCTCCCAAGAATGAACTAATCTATTATCCAGAAGGTTAAGAGTTCGATTCATATCTCTGAAAATATTACAAGATAATTTAATAAAATCACCACATACCGACATGTAGAGAAATAATGCTGTTAAAATAATATTTCTTACAGCAAAACGCACCCTGATTTCATTGTAACCCTTCAGAGAAGTCCTGGTACTAGGTTTGCCCACTGTTGCGCTGTGCTCCAGGTGACTTGTATGTTTTGCAGACTAACTCGCTCTGCTGACAAGAAGTAAATTGTTTGGAATGAGAAATGTAATCTGATGAAACAAAAAGTTGAGCTTTTATATTCAACAACGTGAGAAAAATAACATCCATCTTGACACTATGTCAAGCATAAACGCAGCTTTACAGCTTAGCGTGGGCACTCCTCAGTTACATTGTCTTGAGCACATTGACCGTGAGCCATGCACTAGGTTTTGACCTAATCATGTTCACTGTTAATTAAAGTCCACTGCCTCCTCCTTAAGCTAAGCAAGACTGAAGTCAACCTGGACATCTTTACTGGACCCACAGAGATAAAGTTAATTTCATCAGTCTCATTTTATGGTGATTAAACATTTTTTCCAGTGTAATTTAATAAAATCACCACATACCGACATGTAGAGAAATAATGCTGTTATAATAATATTTCTTACAGCAAAATGCACCCTTGAAGATATTTGAAAGGTCCAGTGTGTAGGATTCAGTGGCATCTAGTGGTGTAATTGCAGATTGCAGATTGTTGCTTCACCCTCCTCTTCCATGTGCGGAGGAGACGTGGCCGTAAAACATGCAAAAAACTCAAACGACCCTAAAGCAAGTGTTTGGTTTGTGCGTTCTGGGCTTCAACATGGCAGTTTCCTCCATGAAAGGTGACCCACAGTGTCTGTAGATATAAACGGCTCATTCTAAGGTAACAA